TGTCAGAATCTCTTTCCCTGAGATAAGGAATAATTAATAAAGAAGGTACAATGAGACTGAGAGTAACTAAATGTAAAAGTACACTACTGATAAGTGAATTTTTGATTTGCAATGCATTTAATTCATTAAAGCAGAAACCTAGAAACCAAGAAGAAAGTACAGCATTCTACAAATTTATATTACAATATTTTGATACCAATTTTTATCCACAAGGACAACGAGTTCTAAACCCAAACTCTTCATGAATGACCTTTTATGAGCTTATGTTACCATCAATTCCAAACCAGATAAAAATATTTCTCCAGATTTTCCTGCTAAAACTTTCCACAACTTTGAACGTAAAATGATTGTGACAAATAGTCCCCCATGGAGCCATAGGGATGTGAGAGAAAATTCCATGAAATGTTTCTAGAACACAGCTCCTTGGATTATATGAAATCATGTAAAACTGTTGTTTTTTATCTGAACTTAGAGGGAACACAAAGTTAGGTCTTCATGTTGATTCATTCAATCAATACTCTGATTTAGTCTATCTAGAATAAGCTCACTAAAAAAGCACTAGCTATTCAAGTTAGGCTAGCATACTGCAATGAGGAAAAATGAAGAAAGTGGAAACTGGAGTCAACAGTAGTATGTTTCAGCTTTTCTTCCCTTTTGATTGTAAGATTCAAACCCTAGGCGACCTCACTCCCCTCAATCTCTACCACAGAAGCCAAATGGCAAATCAAAGAATACACAGATCAGAAGAAGAAGCAAAGTACAAATCTCTAAGAGAGGCAAATTGATGTAATCTCTGTCACCTTACTTCCTCCTTGCACAACCATTGAAGTAGCTTTGGGTTTTTGCTGTCAGCAGGATGTTGAAAGCTGAAATATAGAAAATCAGGAATGGCACACATCAATCAGAATAAAGTAAACGTGTTCTCTTCTCATAAATTGAACTTGGTAAACAAAGTAGAAACTCACTCATTGAACTCAGTTATATTCAGAAATCCATCTCCGTCTGCATCCGATGCATTGAAATGTTCTTCTTTCCACCAACCCATATCATAACCAAAAGAATTTTTGTCTGAAAATCACATAAAACGAGGTCATGATGGCTTATGATTCTGCATATCAGCTACTTCCAGTTGCGCGCGCGCCAAAAAAAAAAGGATGTTGACATGGATCCTCAAGTAAAGAATTCAGGAAAAAAAGGAGCTTTGTTGGTAATGGTAGAGTGTACATATAAAAGCGTGATGTAATCTTAGGTGTCTGAGAAAATCGTTACAGGCACAGTATCAAGAATAACATCTGTTTTTTAAGCAGCTTCTAAATAAGTCCCCAAATCAACTAACACCACAAGGATAGCAATTTGCTATATATTTAATCCATATTGTTGTATACTGATTCACATCACTGACTTGGAGGGTAGAACCACAACCTATGCACGAGGCAACATGTCTCAGAGTTCAGCAAAATGGATAGCTTGTCAACTTTCATTGTCGAGAAGATGATTTTACACGATACCTTTATTAATACAGAATGGGAATAAACTTCATAACTCAAAAACATGAGAATGTTCACACAAACATCTATAAATATAAAAATGCATTACAAGAGAGGAGTAAGGACACTTACCTGAATTCCGTACCCAACTGGGCGGGTCATACTCCGCAAATGAAACCAGCCCATCATGATTTTTATCATGAACATCCATCTCCCTTTTAGTCCTATGCATAACTTCCTTCTCAGATTGTTTCAAATTCCACTCAGTCAATTCATGTACACTCACATAACCATCATCTGGTTCCACATCAATCTTTGGAAATAACACCAACAACCTATACATACACTTTAAAAAATTCAATACATACCACATACAACATAAGAATCCATTCTCTGTCACATATAGACCAACAAAAATCCAATCTTCAACACATAAAAGCAAAATGCAAGATACCCTTTCTTTATTACCTACTAATGACAGCATAAGCGCCATAAAAATCCTAACTTCATCACAAAAAAACACCTACAAAAATCCAATCCTCAACACAAAAACACAAAAAACCCATCTTTACTTACCTATTAGTGACATTAAATTTCTCTTCGTCATTCACATAGTCTTCAGCATCAATAAAATCCTCCCACTCGGGCTGTGACTCGTGACCAGCAGCAGCTGAGTCATGAACAAATTCAGGATGTGAATGTTCAAAGTACTGTTTCTCCCATTCCTTGTCTTCACGTTTGCGTTCAATGTCAGCAACAACGGGGTCAAAAGGCACGGGTTCATGGTGGTGGTTGTGGTGGCGGGGATCGAAGTCGAATTTCGAGCGGATCTTGATGCGGCGGTTTCGGTGGTTTGATGGTTTATTTGGTGTTTGAGTCACTAGTAAAAGAAAAAGTAGAGCTATAGTTATGTATATAATTATTGAGGTCTTGCTCATTGTAAGTGAGATCTAAATTACAGAGGATTTTAGAAAGAGAAGGGGCAGGTTTTGGAGAGAGAACATACAGGTTTCTAGAGGGAGAGAGGTGGGGTTTGACGATTTGGAGTCGGACAGTTGAAACTTGAAGGGGAAAAAGAAACACTAGTAGAGTCCATCACGTTGTGTACTTCGAAGCTGAGATCAGCCGACTCTCTCTCTCTCTCTCTCTGCCTTGTGGAGAATTATTATTCACCTGATGTTAATTATACCTTAACAGCTGTTGGGACAATAACCATGTTGTTAAGAAAATTCACCGTAGGTAGAAGGCTACAAGAGGATGATGTTCTTGTTCATATTTTTTTTCTAGTTTTCAGTTTTCATATGGATGATAAACCTTTTCTCGACAATTACATAGGTAATTACAAGATCTTTTGGATAAAAGAGTTTTGATGTTTGTATTAAATCGATTATTCTTCTTTTATTTTTGTATTTGTCCATATTCCTTATGGTTTATATATCAAATCCATCCGGAAAAAACATTGGTGTATAACGTATTTTGAAAATATTTAATTAAATAGCCTATAATTATTGCTAAACTTAGAAATGTTGAATTTTATTAAAATCTTACGATTAATGTTAATTTAATCAGATTAGTCCTGCCTAACTTATTTTTCTATTTATTTTCATGGATTTCAATGAGTCATGAGCATTAACTTTTCATATATTATTTTTTCAATATATATATAATGTTTTTTTTCCAGAGCATGTATCATTTTCATGCACAAACCATCATTAATATTTTTCACTAAACATGTATCCACTATAATCATAGCATGTCAATTCAATAAAGAGTCATCATAACCAAATGTATATTAGTATTAAATTTTCTACTAATATTATAGTCTCCTATTCATGAAAAACTCTAAATTTCGAGCGATTACAGATACGAAGATCAAATATAAAAATATTTTTTAGTAAGAAAAATTATATGAAAACAATAAAATTAGACTGAAATAAATTAATTCGTATAATTTCTAGACAAGAAATGCATTTTGTAATGCTTATTGTATTTTTTTTCTCTTCTTGTGTATTTTTATACACACACTAATGTAAGTACTAGAAAATTCCTTACTTTTCAATATACTTGTTTTTTTAAGATTAATAAAGCACATCAACCAACTTCATGAGATTTCTTCATGACTTCATTTGAGAGACCTTAATAATAAAATAAAATAAGAAATAAATTCAAGTTTTTGGAAACATTTCCAAGCTGCCTCGGAGAGAGTTAAAGGCCTGGTGATTGTAAAATTGGCGGACCGACAAATCAATGACCAGCCCAGTAATATGGTGATTTTAGCCCAATAAGGCTGAGAAGACCAAGCCCAAGAAGGCTGAAGCTCCAGGAGCCTCGTGCTTTTGACACGTTTTACACCATGGCATGTTAAAATATCTTTTCACTCACGCTTAGGTTAAAGTAATTCTTAAAAGCACGATTAAAAAGAAAATAAATAAATCGTGGGCAGTCGATAAGAACTAGAATATCTGATTTCCAATTAGAATGTGACTTTTGCTGCAAAGTTCTTGACCAGAAAAATAAAGAAATCTGTGGGGCCGGGGATAAAAACAGGATGAAATTATCCAAAACTACGGACCACTTTTTCTGTGACCATTGATAAAGTCTGACATTCACACCCTTTTATGATTTCGAGTTCACTAGAGAATTATGGTTATGGGGTAGGTTTAACCTTTGTACTTTTTGACACGTGATGTGATGCTGTTTTATTTATACCAGTCAGTCATCGTTTTGCTATCAAATTTTTGAATTATATTTTTAATAATTTTTTTAAAAATATAAATTAAAAAATAGATTTTTAATATATTTACATTATTTTTAATATTTTCAACATTATTTTAAAAAAATTTAAATTTTCAGGTTCTCTCAGTTCATTTATACGGACAAAATGCTAGAATGATTTGGCATGGAAATGTTCAAAAAATGATTCTTATTTATTTTGCATATGACATGTCTCTCTGAGAATATGTGTTTTAAAGTATAAATTGAGAGATATATGATGTAAATGATTCACATATATTGAAAATGATACGTACAAGAACATATGCATTTTTTATCTTGAGTATAGTGAATAAATACTAATCTAATCTGAGCTCCTGAAAAATAGTTAAAAATATTTTTAAATATTTTTAAAAAATTAAAAATATTTTTCTAGCTAAAAAAAATAAACTAGTAATTCATGATAATTTAAATGATAATTTTTAATCAAATATTAAAAATTTAATCTACTCCAAATAATGATGTTATGAGATGGGGCGTGTAATACATGATTAGTAAGTGCAACACCTTTTAGTAATATAAAATATATTTTTGTCATGTTTTTTTTTTTCATAGTATAACATGTGTCAGTGATGATAAAACTGTGTGATACCGGTTAATCTTCTCTCCCTTTTTTTTTTCTTTTCTCCCCTAATAATTACATGCTAATTTTATTTGTTATTGATATTTCAATTCCGGTCCTTAATAATTTAATTTTTAATTTTTGTTATTTTTCTTGATATTTTTTAAAATTTTTTACATGTTTTCAATTTAGTTATTCAATTTCAAATTATCATATATGAATTTTTCAATTTGATTCTTTTTTTCTTGGTCTTTTATAAAATTTTATTGTTTGTAATTTGATTATTCAATCAATGTTTATGAATTTTATTTTGTTTCAATTTAGTCTTTATTTCTTGATTTTTTTGTCACTTTACTAAATTTATTATTCTTTTCAATTTAACTCTTTAATAAAAAAATTATAATTACCATTTAATTTGTTTTTTTATTTCCCTTTCACCTTGATTCCTTTAATTTTTAATTTTTAATATTTTAATTAAAATAAAATTCAATATAAACTAGTAATTGATTGATTGATTTATTTATTAGAAACACATATATATTATTTTTTTATAAAAAAGATATGGACCCACACGATATATCGCATGTCAACGTCTAGTATAATCTAAGCATGCGTTGTTCCCCGTCCTAATTCCAAGCTTGAAAATCAACTCTTATTTTTTCTTGAAAGATTCCCAATTAATATCCTTCTTCTTCTTCTTCTTTTTATTATTATTTTATTTATTTTTGCCCCGGTGAACTACATGCATTTGGTGAAAGGTTTCTACTGGGTTCGGTCAAATTGACAATCCCATAAAAAAAATTGCCGTCCCTTGTTATCAGGACCAAGATAGTCGAAGAACAATATATATAGAGATTGGAAGACGGGCATGAGGAAGAAACCAAGCAGTTTCCTCACCTGGGAAAAAGAAATCATCATCAATTCAATAGAAAATGTAGCCAGCAAGGCAAATTCACTTGCCGCAACAGCCAACCGAACATGTGTTCCGGAGAGCTTGAGTCACTTGATCTTTTCTTCATGTGGCAGATAATTGAAGGTGCAGCACATCAGGACACGACCACTTGCTCATTGCATCTGGACCTCTTCTTTTTATTATTATTTATTCAGAAAAGAAATTCAATGCATGCTACGTATCAATTTGTTCTGCGAGTTACGATTGCTCTATAACAACCTGTTCATTGCTGAGCTCAGCAGCAAAGGCAAGAAACCTTTGAAGAGAAGACAGAAACTAGAAACTTTCTCCCTGTCCGTAAGAACCGGGGTGAATTTTACAGCATCTTCACGACACTAGCAGCAGCAGTAACTTTTGTTTTGTTTCCAAGTGTGTGTGTGTGTGTATTATCCATCAAATTCTTACGTGGCTAAAGCAGGAATCTTACATTATCAGAGCATTTTGAAGATTTATGCAGAAGCCATTTGGCCCAGATTTCAGATGAAATCCATCGCATAAAACGGTGCTATCTATGACAATATTGGATTAAATAAGAAATGCAAATCCCTAAGATGATATAATCTATGATTGCAATGTAATTAGAGATTAAGGAGATTGCAGACACTGTGAAGCGTGAAGACTATTTATTCAAAATGATGCCAAACTTTTCTGTAGTTTCTTCCTTTAACTTGTCGTTTCTATTTGACATTTACGATAGCAAGATTTGCCGTGCACATGTTCTTGCAATATTGCATCATCTTCTAACCGCATTACATTGACATCTTCTTACTATAAAAAAACAATTTAATTATTGTGATGCAAATATAACAATGCTAATTTCATTCTAGTTCTTGTTTTTTTTTTTTGAAAAATCAGCTATTAAAACGTGTTTATAATTGATCAGATACTTTTTTAAAATAGCTTTATAATTTAAAATTATTAAAAAATTATTAATTTAATATTTTTTAAAATCAAAATATTTTTTAAAAACTTCTAAAAACAAAAATAAAAATCATTTCAAACACATCTTATTAATTCGAGTGTCTAAAAATAAAATTCAGTCATTTTATGGATAAATTTGGGGGAAGAATCTTACAATTATAAGGAAAAGAAAATCAAGAAATCATATGCCTAATCCCTTAGATAATGAAATAGGAAATTCCATTATTAAAAAGAAGAAAGTTCATTACATCCATATAAAAATTATCCAAAAAAAATTATTCACAACCTTTTCTTACTGTTTTAAAAACACCAGTATAGTATATATATAAACAGTGACTCTTGACTGTTTACGTGTTTAACAGCAGCAGCCAGCGGCATCATCATTCCCCAGAAACTGTAAATAAAGGCAGCACCAACTAATCAAAGGTTGAAACTTTGCAAGTTTTTTAACTCATATCTGCGGCTATGAAGAAGAAAACACCAAAGGTAATCAATCATTCACATGTGACATGCCTCTATAATTATAAATATGGTATTTGTTTTTATTTTTTTTGCTCTGCAAACTGGGCATGGTTATCTTCAATTACTGAATCAATCTGGGGCTCTGTCCATTTGGGATAGAAAGAGAAGAAAAAGAGGAAAAAAAAAGGAACATAAGAAGAGAAAACGAATTCTTCCACTTTCTCTCAAAAAGGGTCTTCTTTTTTAGCTATCTTTTCTCAGATTTTAATGGGGCATTGAGGATTCCAGTGTGGCAACGGGGGGTGAGCCTTTTTCAGTCCAAGCTGTCTTTTTATGTGTAAGCAAGTAGTATTGGTTGTTATTAAAAGATAGGACTAACTGACCCAACCTGAGATGATTTTTTTTCTCAGGATAACCTATCAACATCAGTCATAATTTCTACGGCTGCCCTTTGTAAATTTCTTTCCCTTTTTAGGCGAATTTTTGACCCATTTTTTTGTTTGCTTTCATGGGTTTTTTCTTTTGGTTTATCTGATTTCTGGATTCTCCCAATTTTTGTTCAATCAGCCGCTTAATTCTGTTTTATTGAACTTGTGGGTTTTGTCAATAGAAGCATAGTAGAAGTTGCAAAGTCATCAACTTTTATTAGTTTCCAAGTAAAGTTCTAACATTTACAGTGATATAGAGAAAGAGGTGGGGGAGAAGTAAGGTTGTGCACTGTGAAGGTCAGATTGTTTTTTTTTCAACAGTTTGTTTTTTGTGCAACTTCTCACACTTCAGTAGTACATGTTTTGAAAGTAAAGTTTTTAGTGCTAGTTACAATGTCAAAGTCTTGACAGTGCTAGTTCTGTGATATTGAGTTGTAGGCTGCCTTTCATTGTATGGTGTTTTGTACAGTTACTGGGTTTGGACAGTGAGAAAGGAAGGAATCTGGAGCTAGTTTTTTCCAAGTGGGTATTTAAATCTGTGGTTGATGCCTGTGGTATTGCTTAAAGGTTTTTACTGTTATTTGTGCTTTGTTGATGGAAACAAATATGATTATCATAGAAAGTCTAAGAGGAGAGATTTTGCTGAGGGTTTTGAATTTGACAAAAAATCAAAGGCTTCTTTCTTTGTTCAGTGTTTTGTAGTTTGATCTTAGTTTTTCCTCACTGCTGAGACCCAAATGGGATGCATGGGATTATTTGCTATTTCAAATGTTTCTACAGCATTACTTTACCTCTCTCTTCTTTGTTCTAAAAGTTTCTATTTTGGAACGCAATCTTGCTGTTTATTTGTGATTAATTCTACTGTTTAGTTAGATTGGGGAAAAAACAAAAGAGTTAAAGAGGTTGTAGCCTATATGTACTGTAAAACTTGTGGATGAAAGGAGATTATGACATGATAAATTCTTTGTGGGCCTGTGCTGTTAAAACTGTTGTTATCAAGTAGGGGACACAGTTAACTTGTTTTGTTGGAATTAGAAATGGCCTTGTGAACGCTCCTATTATTCACTGCAGGCTTCTAGGTTATTCTTCTTTGTTTGGTTTCTCCATTGTCCCTTTCATCTCTCACAATCCCTAAACCTAATTACCATTTACCGTTAAATTCACCGTAGCATTAATTTCTGTATATTGTTATTTGCTGCTATTTATTGCATCTTTGAATTAGTGATTTTCAGATATTTCTCATGGTCTAACTGAACTTTGATGCCTTTTCATTTAACAATAGGTCAGCCATTCACAAGAGTCCAAGTTTTTGAATTGTGGAGCAAATCACCATTGAACTCTTCACATACTCCACTGGGGCTGTGATTTTTATTGGAGGTGAACTCTGGTTCAGCTTTCTTGGCCTTTTTCTGAGGTCCTTTTGTTTTCTCTTCTTGCTCACCTCTATGGCCTGATATATCCTGGTTTCCCATAGTTAAAGTCTGTTGTCAGTGATTTCAAATTTAGAAATAATTCAGATCCTACTTCCAAGAAAATCTGTGGTTTTGGCGAGTAGCTTTTAGGCTGGCCTAGATTCTGGAGCACTTTGGTAGATATCTTTTCCTCATCTTGTGAGTGCTATTAGCTGTAGGTAACTCAGAGAAGGCTAGATGTCTGTGGATGAAGGGGGCAGTGGTTCTCTGTGGACTAAAGAACAAGATAAGGCATTCGAGAATGCCCTTGCTACTTATCCTGAAGATACTCCAGATTGGTGGGAGAAAATAACAGCTGATGTACCTGGGAAAACTGTAGAAGAGATTAAACATCATTACGAGCTTCTGGTTGAGGATATTAGCCAGATTGAAGCTGGCTGTGTACCATTGCCTAATTATAGCTCTTCTTCAGAAGGTTCAACGAGCCATGCCATTGATGAAGGAACTGGAAAGAAGGGTGGTGGCCACGTAGGGCATCATAATAGTGATTCCAATAATGGAAATAAAGCTTCAAGGTCAGATCAGGAACGCCGTAAGGGAATTGCTTGGACTGAGGATGAACACAGGTAAATTAATAAATTATCATTTTATTCATCATCAAATCAAGTGCTCTGATGGTTATAGTTGATTGAGTTGTTGCAATCTTTGATTTTCTCTGACTTCAATTATTATTGCTATGTTTTTTCTGCCAAACGCACCTTAAGACCAGCTAATCTGTGATCAAATCCATAGGTTTAGGAAATCTTGAGATGATAGGAAGCAAGTGAATGATAGTTGATTTGAAAACCATGAGACAAATGTGTTTCACTTTCTGAGACTTTTAGGACACCTTTTATTCTCTTTTATGGTAATGTGTTCCTGAATGAATTGTGTTCGGCCTCATATTTTGCGTTGGATTATTTGTTTTAAAACATTTAGTACATAATTGTACCTGCGACAATTGAGGATGCTGGTCTAGGGACTGGGAAGTGAAAGATCCTCGGTTTTGTAGGGGGATGAAATAACTAGTCTTAATCTAAAGCTAAATCAGTAAACCTAATTGACTTGCATTGCTTGAAACATTGTTATCTAGATTCAGTTGTCAGAGAATAACTAAGATGATGTGATTGATTGTCTGAAAAGTTGTTCCAATAGGCGAGCACCTATACGTGTCAAGCATGTAAATGGAAGCTTGAAACTGATGCATGAAGTAGAATCTTTCCTTGGTGTATTATTAGTAGGTGTTGGAATCTAGTTTGTTTCTCTGTATTCACTTTGCAATAATGGTAAATATTAAAGAAGAGTGAGGAAAAAAAGAAGAAGGATTTACATTGTTTGGTTGATCGAGCTACTCCATTGACAGAGACAATGGAAGAATCACTATAAAACTGGAGATCTAGTATGTTCCCTCTCTTGCATGCCCTAGCCTTAAGACAGCTATTTGTCTTGAAACAAACTTTTACTCTATCTAAAACAGAAGATTACATTATTCTGAAGTTTGTACTTTATTTATAGCTCAACACCTTAGCATTGAATAAGAATTGAACGTGTTTGTATCTCATTTGTTTAGGCTCCCTCTGATTTTTCTCAGTGTTGGAGCTGGATAAATTCTCGAGGCTTTTAATCAGGGTGGAGATTAATCAAATCAACATTTTAAAAAGACTTAAAACATGTAAAGTTGTGGTGAAGCACTAAATTCCTCCTCGTGTTCATTCATTAACACCTATTATACTCCTTAATGCTTTCTGGATGTTTTATTTGTATGAACCCTATGGCATTTAGGTTTCAATAACGAGGTTGGAAATCCTAAAGATTTATAAAAACTAGTGTGGTTTGTGTATATGTTTCTACATTGGCATCCACATGGTAGTGGATACTTTTGGATAAATTTGTCATGTTATTCTTATAGAGAAAATCACAAAAATTCTGTACATAGGATTAGGGACTTGTTTTTACAAATCTATGAAGCTTTGTTGTCAGTCATTCCACTCCTTCTCTTCTCTCTCTCAGAAAGATCACGCTAATGGAGCTATTTATGCACGAGTTTTTGGCTCTAGCTGATAGTATGGCTTCATTTTGACGTGTTCTGGTGGTGGATTGATTACAAGGTCACAATGGGTGTGTGCTGGGGGGTGCGGGGATAAGGATCCTTTTTAAGTTGCCAACGAAAAACCTAGATCTATGAATTGTTGCAACAGTTTCTTAGTAAAACACTTTCCTCCTTGAGTAAGGAGACCAGAAAGCCTAGATTATGTTGGCTTTGTTAAGGGAGTCTTGCAGCAACAACTGGAGAAATTGGTTGAAGAATAACGGTGCATAAATTTGCAAACATTTAGCAGCCAAAATTCAGTAAGGTTCTTCTAGGGGAGATTCCTAGAAGACCTTAGAGGGATCATTGGTTTCTTTCTTTCCCCCCCCTTCATTTCTCTTGGTCTCTGAAATGAATCTAACTTCACTTGCACATTTTGCTTGTGATCATCGCCTCTTTGTGACTGTTATTGGAGGTTTGGAACCAAAACTTAAAAATGCAATTATGAGCTCAGGATTGCCTTGAATATGCAAAGCTTTGTCTTGCTTATTGTGGTCTATTGAATCTGTTTTCATCGTGTGGTTTTGCAATACCTATATCCTTTTGGTCACACACCTGTGGAGATTCCTTTAATATGATTGTGATAATATTGGGTCCATAGCCTGCAATATCATAATTAGTTAGTTTAGGGTCATCCATTGAAGCTTGCAAAAATTAAGTTTGCATATGAACAGAACAGGTGATATGCACTGACTTTGACGTGGAGGCTGCTAGCATTTCTTAAAGGTTTACATGATAGAGTGAAGTGTAATTATTTCAAACTATTTCTTAAAGGTCTCAACTCTCAAAAAACTTCGTATTCACCACTTTGCATTTGACCATGTGTTTTTGTTACTTGGGCTGTTGGGGTTGCTAGGGGTAATTCGTGTTCCAACTTTTTAGTGCAATTCTAGGGCACTTGCACTCTCAGCAAGTCACTGTTCTCTCGGGCATATCTGGTCTGGAGTAGCCTATGCTAAACTTCTGGTTCATTAATTAATAAAGTTAAAATTACCCCTTCTAAATCTCTCTCGTGCTCTATTTTCCTGCACTATTTTACACAAATAATCAGAGGAAGACATGAGCTTGTGTCATAAGTTTTTGTTGAGGAGCTGTAATTGCATGGCTTTTGAAGTGGAAAACCTTTAATGTCCTATTGAAGGATAAGTGCTGTATTTTCCTCAGTTCTCTTTTATGGCAATGTGGATGTTTTCTTCCAGTGAACACACTTGGAATCTATAAGCATGTTATATTAGAATTTTGTTGGTGTTGCTGATTCCTGTATCCTTCTGATAAACAGGTTATTTCTTCTTGGTTTGGACAAATATGGGAAGGGTGATTGGCGAAGTATATCAAGAAACTTTGTCGTGACAAGAACACCTACACAAGTAGCAAGCCATGCTCAAAAGTATTTTATTCGTCTCAACTCAATGAACAAAGATAGGAGGCGATCCAGCATTCATGACATCACCAGTGTTGGCAACGGAGACGTTGCAGCACCTCAAGGACCGATAACTGGTCAAACAAATGGTTCTGCTGCAGGAGGTTCTTCTGGAAAGGCAGCAAAACAACCACCTGCACAGCCAGTTGGTCCCCCAGGAGTTGGTATATATGGTCCTCCAACTATAGGCCAGCCTATAGGAGGTCCCCTAGTCTCGGCAGTTGGCACCCCTGTGAATCTTCCTGCACCAGCACACATGGCTTACGGTGTTAGAGCCCCAGTACCAGGAGCAGTGGTTCCTGGTGCACCGATGAACATGGTTCCTATGACATATCCAATGCCGCACACAACCACTCATAGGTAAAAAAATATGTGGTGTTGGCTACAAGCATACAAAAGACAGAAGACTTTCTGCTTGTGCTCATTTTGGGTTACAGGGTTCTCCATTTTAGCCTGAATAAGGTTCCGTGCTTCTGCTTATCGGCAAGCAAAAGTTCTCTCATGCCATTCTGTTTACTCGGGCGCCACTCTCAAGTCTCAAATAAGCCACGGGGAGAGAAGAACTATATACATCTGTATAGGCAGCAGCTTTGGGAAAATATGGCAGCATTTATGGGGTAGGACAACGTTTAATTTATCCTTCATAGTTTTACATTACAAGCTCGTAGACATGTAGAAGTAGACAGTTAATGTATTTTTTTCTCTCATGGCCATAAGTTGTAAAGAACCCGTTTGTATTTCAACTCTTCACAGTTGCATATGTAGTCGTTCACATATTTTGCTGCACCTTGCTTCTAATTTCTCGAAGAGTTGAAGGATCATTGTTCTCAGATCTTCGCCTGGTTCGAACCCTCGGAAGTTTTATGGAACATAGGCATGGGCATGTATTCTGTTTGAATGCATAACCATGCAAGCACGAATTTGTCTGAAAGTCAAGAATGGTTCTGTTTTTCACACCTTGTAGATAATCTTTGATGCTTTATTTTCTTTTTTCAAAGATCCTATCTGGAAGGCAAGTCATGTATGAACCAGAAAATAATTAAGACAGCCTTGAACATGTAGCAAATTCAACGATTTCCTACTCGCAAATTGCGTGACAACAACATTATTTTTTCCTAATGGACTAGTCAATATTCAAACAGTACAGCGTAAGCACCAGTAATAAATACGCAAAAAATCTTTTTTTTTTTTAAAAAAAAACCCTGGGCTCTTCAGGAATAATGTTTGCCAATGGAGAACTCCGTATGGGATAAAAAAAACAACAGCAAACAGCGTGGTTTTATGGAGGATGGTGGGCTGATTATGGGCTTACTTGAGCTCTAGAGATTAGGCCCAATTATTACAATGCGTAGGGCCTTGCAAAACCTCTAATTTCTTCTCACCGTATACACTCAAGCATATACATACACTCAAGCATATACCTTCTCGCATAATTTTTTTTGAATTTTGGGGTATCGTTGAAGGGTTTCAAACTAACTAAAAAAATGCCAGTGGATTTGTCTTATATGTTGAGAATATATTATTAGCTGCTGCTGCTGGGAGGATTAACTTTTAATAAAAAATATTAGGTGTTGTTACTGTTTTTTTTTATAGTGTAATGTCATTTAAAATTATTTGAGGGTTGATTGAATGTGATTCGACTAATTTAACAAGTTAAAAGATCATTTAAAAAATTAATAAAAATTGAATTTGATTTAAAATAAATATTTAAAATGATTTTATTTTATAAATATTGAGAAGACAACATACTAGATTAATTTTGGTTAATTAAAGTTAATCTATTAATCAATATGTCAGAGACTATAATAACATAATAAAAAAATATAAAAAAATTATGAAACTCAATTATCAATAAATTTAATGATAAATGATGAAGTTAAAAAAATAATTAAAAAAAAATCAAAAAAATTATTCGAGTCAACCCGAGTTAACTTGCCAATGCTACGAGCCAAATCATGAGACTGGAACAACCTGATAAAAAAAAATAAAAAAATTATAAAACTTAATCCTAAATAAACTTAATGTTAAAAGATGTAATTGGAATTGAAAAATAATTTTAAGAAATAACACAAAAAGCTTTAGTCAACTTTTATTAATCTATGAAATTTATAACCCAAATAATGAAATAAATACAATCTCATAAATAAATAAATAAATAAAATTATAAAATTTAATTTTTAATTAATTCAGTGTTAAAAATAATAATTAAAAAACTCTAATTAAAAAACAATAAAAAAATAAGTTAATTGGTTAAACTCATATTTCAAATCAATAAATTGTGATAATCTAAAAAAATAAAAAAATAAATTTTAATTCTTAATAAATCTATAAAGTATATAATTAAAATAAAAAATATGATTTAAAAAAATTTAAATTAATAGTGTTGTACAAAAAGGTACCCTAAAATGAATAGTAAATATTTAAATCCTCTCTCTCCCTCTTTTTTTACTAAAAGGAATAGAAAATAGCTAATAGTGTTGGAGCCAGTCAACTATAACCTTAGTTTTTTTTTCCAAGCTTCATTTTATGAGAATTTAAGTTGGTATATTTATTTTCGTTATCTGTTTTTTTTATTATGTAATTATATTATACAAATATTTTTTGCCAAGTCGAGTGCCCTAAATTATTTGTTTTAATAAAAAAAATATTACATTCACCCACGATTTCTTGCAACTTAATTGTTTTTTGTCTTAATTATTTTATTTTCTTTGTCCAAAGAGAACAAGAAAAAAAAAAAAAACAAAAGGAGCCAGTTTCCTGAATTAGAAATATAAGTGGGTCAGAGTGATAGATCATAAGGAAAGAAAGCAAGAGTTCCCGCCATAAAAAAGGAAACCATATCACATTCACCCACGATTTTCTGACTCCTATCAGGTCTCCCTTCCTCTTCAGGAGTTTATACGCAATTGGTGGTTGGTCCCTTTTGGCAGCCCAGTTACTACCGCCGTCTGCTTTCAGAACCCTAATCTTCCTCTCCACAGTTTCCTCTCTCTGTAACTGGTAGCCGTATTTACAGAAGTTTTTTCTTCTTCGCCAAGAAGTTGCTGTCTGACAGGTAACTTCTATCCTCTTCCCCTTTCACTTACGTAGTGTTTGTTTTCCTAGAAAATGGAAGAAAACCACAAGCAGAGCTTTTATGTTGTTCCTTTTTGTATTTTGTAAGTGACCCAGAAAATTGTTTTGAATTTTGTCTTATAAAGTTGCTTGCTTTGCGAAGAAGAAAATTGTTGGATCTGTCTGGGGTTTTAAGAAATTTTCTAGCAGTTTTCTAGGTGGGGTTTTACTTCTTTATTTATTTTTACGATCTGGTCATTTGCTGAATGCTTGGCTGCTAAGAAAACTGTGTGAACTTTATATTCACTTCAATTCACTTGTGTTTAGTTAGAAACAGTTTGCGATCCAAAGAGAAAAAAAGAGTGTCTTTCTCCATCACCCCCAAGTTACTAGGCTTCAACTCTTAAAAAGATAAAATCGAAGGAAGAAATGTGATATTGATAACGCCAAGTGATGACAATTGAAGCTATTTAATTGATTAACGGTTGGGAATAACCCTAGTGGGTATCGGTCGGTCAAAAGGTTTTGTATCAGTTTCATTTTAGGACTTATAAATTTTAGGGGTGCCCCTTTTATTTATTTTTGTTTTGCGGGTGAAAGAAAAACAAACTTACGTGACTGCGTTGAGAGCAGTTCTTGTCCAACAAAAAACTAACAGGTCAGTGTGTATGAAAAACCAAAGGTTTTTCCCCCCCTTTCCGTGGAGAGCAATTTGTATGTGCGCATCGTCAGCTTGCTTGTGTCTAGAGTAAAAAACAAGATTCTGTGCTTTTGATTTAATCAAGAAAACCATTTGGTCTCTGGTTATTTTATTTTATTTTCTACATCAACAGAAATTGATTAATCAAGACTTTAAGAGCTAATAAATTGGTCCTTAAAAAGGTTTCTGTTCTTTGCCCTGTGATCTCCATCTTGCTGCTTCTGTGCTTATCTTTTTCTGATAATAGGTTAGAACTATCTATAAGTTTCCACTGATGTACCATGGATGTGAAAGCTGTGATTTTTTAAAATTTTGCTGCTTCCTTTGGTTGCTTTTTGTTAGCATCCCAATGATCGTTCTGTTTTGTCTGTCATTTTCACCCATGAATTAGACACAGGAAGCCAGTTATTATAGATTGGTGTTTGTGAGTTAGGTTTTACAAAGGACAACACGGATCATAATTTGTTTGTATTCTTGTCTTTGACAACTGAACAAATCAATAGCAATGGAAGCAACACCCGAGCAACTAGAGCGCAAGAAAAAGAAGGAAGAGAAGGTTCTTTCTCTTTGAAATTAAAATTCTGCTATTTTTATTTTTTATTTATTACTTTGCATTCTTAATTCTCATTTATTTATATTTATTTCAGGCTCGAGAAAAAGAACTGAAAAAACTTAAAGCTTCACAAAAAGAAGCTAAATTTAAGGTATTTGATTGACTTAATAAAAAGAATTGACTTGAATTTCAAATGTTAAAGTCGTGTGTTTTCCTTTTTTTTTATTTTTTTATTTTATCACAGGTACAACTCCAATCTAAGAAAAAATCAAGGCGAGAAGAGGAGGAGAAGGTGGTGGAGGAGGAAGAGGATTATAGAGACTCCCTGACACCTTCGGGACAAAAGAAAAGACTTTCTGCTATTATGCCAAAAAACTACAATCCCTCCAATGTAGAGAAATGGTAAGTGTCAGCTGCCCTTATAAAAAACCTTTGATCATGCCGTGTTCAAATTTATTTTATCATTTTTTGTATCATGAATTTTTCAGTTGGTACGAGTGGTGGGAGGCTTCAGGGTTTTTTGTGGCCGATGCCAACAGTTCTAAACCCCCTTTTGTTATAGTAATTATTCCATCTCTAGATAATTCACATACTTTCTACACGTCAAAGCTACTTATTCAATGACTAATAAATGATGGGTTAATCTTCTTGTAGCTGACTTCATTTTTCTGTGTTTTTTGATTGATTTATTTCTTCATTATCTGGCCTGCAGTTGCTTCCCCCACCAAATGTGACTGGGAACCTACATTTAGGGCATGCGCTCACAGCTGCTATTCAGGTGGGGTGGCATTCTTTTCTCTCACCCCCCCTCCCTCTTTTTTTTCCCTTTGATAAACCATGGTTTATCAATTACTCATTTTCTTGATAAACCATGGTTCTTCTTGAGTAGGATACAATGATCCGCTGGAAGAGAATGTCTGGATTTAATGCCTTATGGGTGCCTGGTCTTGACCATGCTGGGATTGCAACACAGGTTACATCATCTTTTACTTTTTAAATTTTCACTTGCTTCTCTAGATATCTGTACCTGTGCATCCATCTTCTTGGCATCTGGACTGCTAGCTATTCATAATATACATGAAATATTCATATGTTACACCCGATATGTTTAGTATTTGCTTAACTTTTTGGTGTGAACTTGCTGTTTTGCACTCGAATATTCATATAATCTCTCACACATGATTTTTCCACGCAAACATCTGAATTTTCAAATTATATGAGCTTAAAAGGATGTTTGAACATCAATTGGCAGGTCGTAGTAGAAAAGAAGTTGATGCGTGAGTGCCGCTCGACAAGGCATGATCTAGGTCGTGAAAAGTTTATATCTGAAGTGAGTTTTGAGTTGTTATAAGTAGAAAATTACTTTGACATTACTGGTTACTTTCTTGTCTGTTATCAAATTTACCTCTTGTCATGACCATTATCTTCTTTTAATTCTAATGTAAAGGTTTGGAAGTGGAAGCACGAGCATGGGGGTAACATATTACAACAGCTTCGCAGGTTGGGTGCATCCCTCGACTGGT